CTCCTCGGGTGAGCTTCTCGACCACACCAACGGCACGGTTTGCCTTTTCGTTTGGGTGTCGCGGTCTTCTTAGTGGGAGTTCGAACATTTGAACGTTCAATTCCTCGCTGAGCAGGTCTTGCTGCTGCTGTCCCATTTTTGGCTGCTATACGGTCAACGTTGGCATCCTTTTTTTTTGTCGGTCGGAGTTCCACTTGTTGCTTCTTAATCACTTCCGATTGTCGCGCAGCAGCGATGGCCTTCTGGAGGTCCAGATCAGGATCCAGTTGAAGTTTTTCTGAAGTCCTGCTGTCCCTAAGACCAACAATCAGCCTGTCGCGGATCAATTCTTCCTTCAGTGGTCCATAGTTGCACGTAGTGGCTAATCCATGGAGAGCAGTGACGTACTCCTCGACGGTTTCCGTCTCCAGTTGCGATCTTGTGTTGAACATGGCTCTCTCATACACAACGTTTCGACGAGGAATGAAGTAACGTTCGAAGTTCTCCATCACCTTCTCGAAATCTTGGGCCTCGGTGTCGGACAGCTTGAAGGTCTGTCAGACGTCTTCCGCTTGTGGTCCCATGATGTAAATGAGAGCATCGACTTGGTGTGATGATGGTTGAGATGCCAGTCCTGATGCACTGTGGAAGCGCCTGAATCTCTTCTTCCACGCCGGCCATTCGTTAGGTGTTGTAAAACTGAAGGCTTCGGGTGGCGAGATCCGAAAAGTTGCCGTTACCGTTTGTTCGGTAGCACCGTTGTCGGCAGAAGTTGAGGGCTTGTCCATTGTTCCTTCGTTTGAAGTCGATCCTGCGCTTTACTAATTATTAGTAGACTCGCGGAACGATCCCACTTCTGACACCATGTTTCGTTTTACGTTTTTTGACGATGGGCACACATGGACAACCTTTCGTGCCGGAGTCAGACTGAAGACTGACGTCTCGTTTATTAAATCTAAAACGAAATAAAAGAAAGGCGCCTCTGGTACGGGGCGCTCAGGTTACGCGCGAAGCGGCGGGACGGGGCTCCGCGCGCGAACGGTTGCTCTCGCTCGGTCGCTTTGGACTTTGGAGCTCGCTAGCGTCGGCGCGTCGGCGACCTCCATAACAAAGGGTGCCTAAAAGCTGCGCCCTAAAACGAAACGCGACTTAGTTAGTCACATGCGTACACCCTAAAAACAAATACCTGGAGCGTCAATTCCTCCATGCACTTTGGAAAATGCCAATCGCAAAAAGTTTTCGGGATAAAGCTGTGGGAATCACTAGGCTGAAAATGAGTTTAGACCTTAAAGAAAGCGGAAAAAAAACAAAAACGTCTGCGCTGTGACATTGAATATGGTGGCTCCGTATACCTGTAGTGATTGATTGCGCGAAAGTAGACACTCTTGAGTTCTTAAAATGTATGGAGCAAAAAAAAAAAAAAAAAAAAGTTTCAACTTAGTGTGATTTGTCGTCACCACTTTGCCGGTTCGGGCCACGCGTATCTATACATCGAAGTCACTTGTTTCGCAACGAGCGCGGCACATGCAAAATGTAGCTCTTATTATTCAGAGTGTCCTCATTCAAACAGAAAAAGAAAAGCACCTTCCGACCTTATGCGAACAAATAAGCCGTTTCCGCAATAAAAGCAAAAACAAAAGGAAGTAGTTGGCGGCGTATTTTACATTAAAGCGTATTCTCATTACGGACGGCCAACTCAGCCTAGGACGACGCTCCGTCAGTCCGCTACGGCAGCCGAATTAATCCGATCTGAGAGGACGTGCACTGCCAGTACCTGAAACAAAAAGAAGGGAACGAAATAAAACCCGTGTTCCCAGCGAGCACGAGCTTCCCCAAACGTGTGTCCCTTTTCTTGTTTTTTTTTTCTGGCCCGCCCCCTACTGTCCCCGTGTTAGGCTTAATTACGAAAGCATATTGTCCTGTCTCACCGGCCTCCCTTCCCTTTTTTGTCCCCCTTGATCCCTCAATCCCGTCAGACTCTCAACGGTGGGAAGGTTGAGCCCTAAAATGGCCACCGCGTACTAGGGATTGGGAAACGTACAAAGCAGCCTCCGTTTTTTTTTTTCTCTCTCTCTCTCTCTCTTCTTTTCTTTGTTATCTTTCATATACGGAAGTTCTTCATCCCCACTTGATCAATTTTGGGGAGAAGTTGGGGCTTGTTTTATTATCGACGAGATGGATGGATGGAGAGATATAGAGGGGACCGAGTGTTCAAAAGAAAAGTGGGGAACGGAACAGCTAATATAATTTTGGGGGACGAAGAAGAGCCTCTTTAATCCCCGCGAAGGATTCCCTTAAAACCTTCCAGGGGGCGAGCAGGAGCATGGCATGAGAAAATAAGGAGAAAAAAGTAGAAGGGGTTAGGGAAACGATCGAAATGTTTTTTCTGGCTTTGGCAAATCTGCTTTATAATTTTCATAAGTGTTCGTGGCTCTCGGCGTACCTCATGCAAACGCTGCAGCGACGTCTGAAAGTGAGAGAGCTCTTTGTTCTTTAACGCTGTTCGACTGCGCGAACGCACTGGCAGTGGGACTAACTACCAAAGCTACGTGTTCGTGCAGGTAGAGTTTGAGTAGTTAGTTGGTTGGTTCATGCGAAAAAAAAATACACCCGGTAAGTATTGCAACCTTTCGCCGCTAGGTGGCGTCAGCTCGCTTTCAGCTTTTCCGCAATCACATTATAGACTAGTCGAACTAAAGTAGAACTTCAGACCAACGTTTGTTAAACTTGCCGCTAAAGTGTTCGGAAAAGTACACAACCTGCAAGTAGCACAGATTTGGCCAATCATTGGCCAGTGGTTGGAAATGGCTTTTTGGCTAGTAGCCAAAGAGTGGCCAACCATTGGCTGATGAGTGGCCTTACTCTGGCCATTAGCTAATGGCCACTGGCCATCCGTTAACGGCCAATCATTGACCGATGAATGGCTACTTTTTGGCCGTTGACCAAAAGACCCTCACCAGCCACTGGCCAATGCTTGGCGGCTGCAGCAATTTTCGTTAAGTTGCAGGCTTCTGAGCAAGGTATCCTGCGTTGCATGGAACGGCGTTCCAAGGAACCACGTTCCTGCGTTTATTTTGGGAGGAACGAAGGATAATCCCCGTGCCCTGTTGCACTGGTGAAACGGGAACGGGAACTCGTTACAGTCCTGAGGGAACGGTAGAACGAAACGTTCGTTTGGTTTTCATTATATATCTGCAATTTTACCCGAAATATTTCAGGGTTTTTTTTTCCCCTATGTCAACCTTTGACTACAAGGCATGGGTGAATAGTCCGACGGATAGTCGTAAACAAAAGAACTGGAACAGAAATGTGATCGTGGAGACTTGACGGGCAGTTCGACGTGGATATTTCCACTTGCTCGGTTTATTTCATTTATGGATTATCGAGCAGAATATTTTATTAAAATACGCAATCGGGACTTGAATGTAACGACACGCTCATATGCGCAGCTTTCATCAACACGTGCGGCTTATAAGGTGGTGCGTTCAAGCAGCTGGCATGGCTTTGTGGTAGCGCCCTCACGTCGCCATAAACGGACCACAGCTTCAATTCCGAAAAAAACGAGGCGGGATTTTTTTTCCTCTTTCGCATTTGGCGATATTGAAGACAGACGCCTTAGAGTCGCAACTATAACTGAAACTGCTACAATAAGCTAACAATTCCGAATAAGGAGAAAGAGTTCATAAACAGCAATCGCTCTACAAGAACTAGAAAACGTGCACTGGAGAAGAAAACACGAAGCCTGTACGCTAGGTTAGCCCAATACGACGCGCGAAATGAACACAGCACTGAGGCCGCCTTCATTTCAAATTCCCTCGGCGGACAAGCAGCTTCGTGTAGTAACTTTTATCGAGAATGTTACTTGGGTGAGCGCTTTGTACGAACCGGTAATCTTTTGGTCATCACTGGAACCGCAACCAACCAGGAAATAACTGTAGGGTGAAGAATACATTCCCGGCCGCCACTGACGAGCCGAAGTGAGGGTGCCGACGAAATACCACGTTTCTACCGCCATTATAATGACAAAGGGTTAGACATGAATATAGAGCAAAGCTTCCAAAAACCTTCCCGAAAATCAATGCAATGTGGTGGTCCAAATATGAATCTAACTTTTGTTGTCTTTTCAATTAAGAAAAGTTAGATTTTATTTTGAACTACAAGGTGGCACTGAATTTAGAAAGGGCTCCAGAATCTTTGATGGGTAGGTTGTGACTCGAATACATAAACCCAATGGAGTCCGAGCAAGAATGAAAATTTCACGTATGGTAAGAATAAAATCCGCGACGATCTTAAAGATCAATTTAAAGTTTAAGTAATCGCGACTCCTACATAGAAAAAAAACTAATTTGACATAAACAAAACAACATAGTATAATATTTAGTCATATATCAGGGAAGTTTCTCTCCGCCAATGTAAATGGAAGTTGTCTTTTTTATCCATTTCAGCTTTAGAAGAGGTCACTTCCAAACCTTAAGTAACCAAAGCGAAAAATGAAAGAAAAAGAAACAAAAATAAACATCGTCAGTGAAAAAAAAAAAGAAAAACGCAGGGCTTAGAAAAGCGGAACCTTTATGTGGAACAAGAAATAATCCAGAGCATCGTCTCCAAAAAGAAAAAAAAACAAAAAAAAACGGGAGTGAAATTGAAAATAAAAATAAAAAAGAGACCGGAAAAACCCTTTTCGAAAAAGAAATCAAAAGCCTACAAGTGGTTGGAGGCATCGGAGCATACCTATCGATCCAGTCCGGCCACGGGGTGAAGAAGGGGGTGGTAGGTAGCGCTCCTGGCGGGTGGTTTGGGAGGCGGTCGGCCCCCTCTGCGTCTGCTCCGGCAGCGATATGGTTTCGGCGGCGGCGTGAAAAGGTTGTTGAATGGCGATGAGGTCGGACCCTCGCCGCCTTACATTTATAGGGATTCTGGGGAATTTATTGTTGACGCTGCTCTTCCATATACAGGGATGTTTTTGTGCCCGCTTATGTGAAAGCCGCGGGTCGCATACGTAATGAAGGGTAGGGATATGTTCAGGCGGGATATTCTTTTTTATCCTTGTTTTGATCCACGTTTGCTCCGTTCTCATAATAGACGTCGTTTATATTGAAGGGGATCGGATTTTTGACTACGTTTATAGCTTTATGTTTGAAGATGTCTGGAAGTTTACAGAAACGCTGCTGTTCTAGAACGAAGCTCGAAGAGAATGACGTTGGTCACGGGATTTCTTTTCGACCAGTAATATTGGCGTCAAGCGACGTGTGAGAATTCAGGTGCGAATTCGAAAAGTCACTGCATTTTCTTTCGTTAATTAACGCTTGCTAGTTGCTTTATTATTTTTATCTTATTCGGAAAATTTATTTCCAGGTGAGTCTAGCGCGATCTTGAAATCAGAGCAATGAGCACTGGTTTGCTTCATTGCCAATACCAATATTATTTTCCTTTTACAAGGTTAATCTATCGCCGACTATATATAATGCTTTACTAAATTTTGTATATTGAGGCCACGCTGTTCAAATGATTTTATGCTATGTGCTACATTAAACCTCATAAATACTAGCATTCACAGTAACTGGTAGGATAAGACATTCCGTTACGAACCCAAGACGCGAAAATCATCAATCTTCACCTCAAACAAGTCCGCGATTCGTGAAAGTTTTCAGGCTAGTTCATTATATTTGCGCTCAAGCTACTCCCAAAAACAAGAGCTGAGAGCGTTTATAAGAAATAACGAACGATCGGCATAAACCCTTGGTCTCTCAAGGATCAATAAACATGGAATCGCCAGCCTAACAGGTCATGTTGCGAGCATAACATTCCCTGACAAGCCCCCAAAGCCTTTTTAGGTATTCCGTTATCCAGTTCATTATTCAGCAGCCTACATGTCTCCTAATGTTACAAAAATGTGGCATGTTGTGTCCTGTCACGCTGTATCCTGCTGCTGTATGACACGCAACACACTTTAGTGAGCCTGGACATTCATAAAAATGTCCAGCGAATCAACTGCGCTTCAGTTGCCCCAATTAAAAAAAAAAAAAAAAAAAAATTGTGACGTAACCTCAGAAATTTTTAAACCCCCTCTGTCTTTTATAGCCTTAACGAAATACCCTACTCCCAGAAGGTTTTTCGTCCGGTCGTCAACTTCCGCTCTCAATTCATGGTTTCACGTTCTACCCTGACGTCACATGTCCTGCCATCAAGTGACGTCATGTAACGTCCTGTTAAATTTGAGCGGGGATAATAATAAACAACACGTTGATCGCCAATCCAAAATGACTCTTTACGCTCTTCTAAACATATTTCAATGATATCTATAACAGACTGGAGACAAAAATCTAAGGTAATATGTTTTTTTGTTTTTTGTTTTTTTCAAGTTTATTGCGTTTCCTATTTACATTCGCGCGGTATATTTTATTTCCCAGGTATAAGCGCTCCATGTGCAGTATGAAACTGCTTAAAACACGGATTGAAATGTCTGAGGATTGTATTGTTCTTTCCCTTCGCCGCTAAATTGCCCTTTCGTACTGTAACCATGGCAGTACAAATTGATAAGCCTCTTTGAAACGCGCGAATAATTATTAGGAAGCTTTAGCTCCTTTTTTTTTTTTTTCTTCTCACTTTGGTGTACGATAGACTCGTGTCGAGTAACACATCTTTCCTTTCAAGAATTTTAATCCCCGAGCATCGAATAACCGAAGCACCAATCTCTGTTCCCTACATTCAAAAGAGATATATGTCTCCATGTTCTGAGGAATACTAACGACGAGGCATCGAGTACGTTTAATTCTGACAGTACCTAGAAGTGTGAAGACTTTTCCTGTGATTGTGTATACGATAAAAATAATCGCAGACATTTTGTGTGCGTTCGTATGCGTATATTTGTGTTTGTGCATGCCCACACACGTCTGTGTGTGTGTGGTTTATTTCTCTTCATCGAACGAGGGCAAATTTATAAGAGGCACTATACATCGGATAGAAGCTCATTAAAATCTAGAGCTTTCAAGTCGCGGCGTGGTTTCGATCAAAAACGAAGCTGAATAACTTAGTTTATCAACCAATGCGATATTCCCAAATCACATTCAATTAAACAATTAGACGCAATAAGTAAAAAAGAAAAAAACAGACGCCAGTTTCGCATTTGAGCAAATTAACTCTGATTTTGGTGTTTCCCAGCGATGCGTACGATATGCATTACAACGGAAATGAGGACAAAAAAAAAAAAAAGCAACAACATCGCAGACAAGTTTCTTTAAAGGAAATTAAAGCCCCTACGTTGCCAAGAAAGAGCAGGAAGGCAAGCCATACCCCAAACCAAGTGTAAAACCGGGAAGAGGACACTGAACAGAGAACTTGTTCCGGGAGTTTCGTAGCGAAATCATAGCTGATGGCGACGAACAGCTTGAGAAACTCAAGTTGAATCAAGATGCGCAAACATGTTCATCCCCGCAGTGCGGTTCTTAAGCTGTCCGAGACTACGGCTCGTTTTATTCGTGTGATAAACACCGTATTTATCGGCGGAAAGTCGAAAGCAGCCTTTTTGCGTGACCCAAGAAATCCTTCGCGATATAATTTGTCTAAAAGCTTCTTTTTTTTTTTTTTTTTTTCAAGGACAATGAATAATTTTGTTTTTAGGCGGAGCAGTTGCCAAGAAAGTGTGTTCACGAGCAGTGTCCTCAATCGTCACTTTCGTTGGTCATAGTTTGTGAAGAGAGTTTCGTGATGCATCGCAGCCTAATGATGTGGAGCCGAAACAATAAAATAAAGGAAGCATGATCCCATTAAACTTTGTGAGCCACGCATAAACGACTAAGGTTGTTTATACTTTTGTTTTGTATCCGTTCTCGGTTATAATGCGTTAACATCGATGTCTATAAATATAACTACACTAGAAACTGCTCCCATTAAGGTAATAATCGTCCAAACAATTTGTTCATAAGTGCCATATTCAGATAATACAATTAAAAGTACCAGCCATGTGGGCCCTCTCTTTTTCGGGTTCCTGTCTCTGTGTGTGTGTGTGTGTGTATGGGGGTGCACTTGAAAGATTTTAGTAAAAACGCTGACAAAATCTATTAAAAGAACTATTGTAAAAGTTGAATGCCCGACATCTACGTTTGTGTCTGTTCGCTAACATGCCCCAAGATGACTGATTTATGAACAAAATAGCCAGAAAGGGCACTTCTTACGCATGTTTTTATGCCAAAAAAGCCTCACCGTATTATGTATTTACATTTCTTCTCATTCAATTTCTCCTTGGTTCTGGGGAATCGTCTCGCTCCCGAGCAGTTATTGCAGACACTGTTAAACGTTTTTCGAATGCCCCGTAAAGCGAGCCTCGAGCCCGTCTAAGAACTTCTTGTTTCCTTGATGTTTGGTTTTATCTTTCGGCTTGTCGTTCTTCTGTCAAAACTGCATTTCTGCGTTAATACACTTATACCATATGTATGCGTATATCTTCTGTGAAGACGTAGCGTTCTCTTTCTGAGCTCTGTTTCACCCCTTGGTAGGCGGAAAATTCATTCACTCCCCCTACACTTCATTTATAACGGCCATGATATTTTTTTTTTTTTGCCGAACTCAAATATGAGTTTGTATTAAGTGCCCTTGTAGGTAGAGGGATATATAATGAGTGTTCTGACAACGACCGAAAGTAATTAAAGGAAAACAAACACTCGAAATAAAAAGTTAAAGAAAAAAGATCCTTCGGGTGAATGTTGCTGACCGCTGCAAACGTCAGGCTACGAACGAAAAGTGATCATTAGCGGTCCCAGCACCTAGCTAAAATCCGCCGACTAACGTTTTCTGTATACTAAATTGATTTATCTGGCACGTTTCGACTACAGACTCGCTGCCCGCCGTCTCAATAGGCCGCAGACGTTTTCAGAAGTTATAAGAAACAAAAATTATTTTCCGTGCTTTTAAATGGTAAGCTTTGCTAACATATCAAGGACAGTCTGTTCGCTGCATGATAACAGAATTACCGGTGGACATGCCTCGGGCATGTTTGAAGCAGCTTCGTACACGTGTATTCCTCGAACATCTCTGTAGACTGTTTTTGTCTGTTCGTTGTGACATGGACGGTCACACAAGAAACAAACATGCCTCGGACATTGTTCGCAGACTATGTCTGTAGGATGCATTGATAGTGGGACCGCAACTCAAGGGGGAAAAAGCGCCGAAGCTGCGCGTTTGAAGAGAGACCAGAGTGTTGCAGTCGCTGCGGGTCGTCACAGTAATCGTTCCATTGTCACACAACGAGCAACACTTTAATATTTACACCGCTGAGAATAATACATCGACAATCGAAAGCTTGCAAGGTCAAGACGTTCAATCGTTCACGTTCATCGTCGTCGTCGTCGTTCTCTTTTCCTTTTTCCCCGCTTTTCGTACGCACGTGCCGGGGCAGCTCAGCAGACTTCTTTCTTTTCTACTTCTACTCCCTGTTCGTCTAACGCCAACAGAGGTTTGTCCGACGTTAGTTGCAACACACTCCCCACCGAATGGGTTCGCCCATTCTAAATTTCAGTTACTTCTATTGGATAAAGCAATTGTACCGGTCGTGTCAGCAACAATCCCCTTTTTAAACGCACGACACATGAACGAATCTTTCCATCCCGACCCAAAAAGACTTCTTCAATCCTGCCCATCTTCCACAGCAAACGTGGAAGCTGCTCCTTAAGCAGGACAAGCTGTCCAACCTCAATGGGTGTGGATTTCCGTTGCTTGCTTTCATAGGCGGATCGGAGCTCTCTTAGATACTCCGATCGCCACGTCTCCCAAAATCTGTTCAGAACCTCCTTTCTGCGTCTCCAAAGCTGGCGGAGCACCTCAGGTGACGAAGCGAAGTCTTTTTTCTCCGCCACCGGAAGCGCCGTCAGCCTTCGTCCCGTGAGGAAGCTTGCAGGAGTGAGCGACTCGCCCTCGTCGATCTCATTGTAGACAACTGTGAGAGGCCGTGAATTCACTACGGCTTCAATCTCGCACAGAACTGTATGTAATTCTTCCGAGTCCAAGCATTTTTTACCGATCACTTTCCTGAGCCCAACTTTCACCGATCGGACGAGTCGCTCGTAGAAGCCTCCCCACCATGGTGCCCGCTCAACAATATAGCGCCACTCAATATTCGCGTTGGCAAAGTGGTCTACCACCTCTGGATGTCGGAGCGTCTTCCAGAGTTCGGCCAAGTCTTTGGACGCCCTCTTGAAGGACAGCGCATTGTCCGAGTACACGATGCGACACAAACCCCTTCGCGACACGAACCTTCGGAACGCAAGCAGGAAGCTTTTTGTCGAAAGGTCCGGCACGAGCTCCAAGTGCACCGCGCGCGTGACAGCACAGGTAAACAAGGCAATGTATGACTTATGCGTGAGTTCATTTTCTCGCACGTACATCGGCCCCGCAAAGTCTATGCCGACTACCTCAAAGGGATCAGCTTGTGTGGTTCTTATACCCGGCAAAGGTCCCGTTGGAGCACTGGCAGGAGTGGCACTGAACCTCTGGCAGGTAACGCAAGCATGCACCACCTTCTTCACCAATTGTCTTCCGCGGATGATCCAGTATCTCTCGCGAAGCTGCATGAGAGTGTCTCGTGGCCCCCCGTGCATCATCTTTCGGTGAGCTTCGATGGTCAGCAAGGTAGAATACCGGTGCTCGTTGGGCAGCACGATGGGTTCACGTTCATCCCTAGTAAGGTTTGCTGATCGGATACGGCCTTTGATCCGGAGCACTCCCTCTTGGTCGACGAACGTTTGGAAATTTCGCAAGGCTGAACCAGGCGGCGCTGCTTTTTTTCCAGCTGCACAACTAATCTCGGAGGCAAACGTCGAGCTTTGTGCCTTCTTTATCCAAACGGTTTGTGCTGCTTGGATCTCCTCAGCACTCAGCGATCCAGTAGTTTTGATTGGTGATCGAAGGTTATGGACAAACCGAAGCACCCAGGCTGTTGTTCGGTGCAGTCTCGCAGCCGAACTGAATCTCGAAATGTCCATGAACTCCACGGATGTGTCTGCAGGCAGTAGCGTGACTACAGCTTTCGAAGCTTTCTCCTCGAGCTTGTCGTGGGAAAGCACCCCAACAGTTTCTTTGGGCCATTCGGTTGCTGGAAGCTGTAACCAAGTTGGTCCGGTCCACCAGAGTGCAGCAGAAAGCAGTCGATCAGCTTTCAGCCCTCGGGTCATCAAATCTGCGGGATTTTCCTTACCCGGGCAGTGGTGCCACTTTGCGTCCCCTGAGTTTCCTTGTAGACTTTCGAGGCGCTTCCATGCCACATCTCGGTTGCATTCTAGGTGCACGTCTGTTTTCCAAGGGAGGCCAACCTCGTACCTTCCCTTCGTCTTGGTGATGCTTGCTTCAAAGCGTCGCATAATGTCATTATCTGACTGATCTCGGTCCACCTCTTCGAGTACTCCTACACTTTCAAGCTCCCAGAATCTCCTCAAGATGGCTGGCTCTTGTTCGTCTGCAGCAGATATGAGCACTATCACCTGGGAACAGCTGACAGTATCGGAAGTCAGCTGTGTGGATCCATGTGTTGCCCAGCCAAAGGCGGTTTCCACTGCGGTGAGGCTGTTGCTCAGTCGTTGGATCCTTCCTGTTATACATTCCCAGTAATGTTCCGATCCCAGTAGTATCGCTACTCCGCCACAGTCCAGTCCGTTCAGGTCGTCACCCGAAGTAAGCCCGAGTTCTTCCATTTTTTCAATAACGTCCTTCTCAGGGCTAGGGAGTTCTTGCTCGGAGATGGAATGTGTCTCGAGGGCGTCAATCATGTGTTTCTTGCCACTGTGTTGGTTGCGCAGAATCACTTGAACTCTGCGGTACGTTCGTTCCCTATTCTTGCCTCCGAACACTCCGACAGTCAGGATCTCGGTCCCGAGCAGTTTGCAGCCGAGACTCCTCGATAGCTCTTCCGTGATGAAGGAGCGCTGGCTACCACTGTCAAAGAGAATCCGAGCTCGCTTTCTGCTGTTTTTGCCTTCCACCCACGCAGTGACCGTTTGTAAGAGTACTGTCGGCTTGTTTTCCTCGTTTACATGTAGGCTAACCGGTGCTTCGTCTTTCTTTTGCTGTGCGTTCAATCCGTCGGCAGATCGTCTCGGAGTATAATCTGGGTCGCACATGCTGGAGGTATGTCTGCCTCGGCACCTGTTGCAGCAGGGTGTACCTCGACACATCCTTGCCATGTGCCCCACTTTCGTGCACCGGAAGCATCTCTGGGCGTTTTGTAGCCTGCGCTTCTTTTCAGCTAGCGTTATCCTTGAGTTGCAGTCGGGTGTTCCATGCTTTTTTGACTTGCAGAAGAAACATTCGAGACCTTCCACAACACCATGCAGAGCCGTAGCAGTAGAGGTTCGTAGCATATCGGGATCTGTAGACTTCTGCTGCGCCTCGCGCTTGGTGAAATGGGGTGTGGATTTACCACCAACGTCCTCTGGCCGTTCTTTAGATGCCTTTTCCTGACTCTCCACCTCGATGTGCAGAAACTCGAGGAGAGTCCGAAGCGCTCTCAGATGTGTGCGATCTGTGGTAGGTCCTAAACTTGTCTGTGGCGCTGGTACAGATCTACTGGCGGTGGCACTCTCGGCTTCCCCCTGCAGTGTCTTTCGGTGGTATTCGATGGTCATTTCTCTTGGGAGCGCTCGAAGGAGCACTGGGTAAAGCATTGAACAGTAAGATTCTTCGCTTACGCCCAGTGCCCTGAGACCCCGGATGCGAGCTTGCAGGCTATCATACAATCGCCGCAGGATTCTGACGTTGCGCTGAGGTGGAACACATTGTATGTCCATGAGGCTTTCCATGTGATCCTGGATTAGCGCTTCTTGATTCCCGAACCGCCGCTGTAGGAGATCGATGGCGTCCGCGTAGCACTCTGCTGTGGGCTGAAGTCCATCAATGGCTGCCGCTCCATCCCCTGTTAGTGCCGCTTTTAAGTAGTTAAACTTGTCGCACGGTGTCAAGTCAGGGTTCTGGTGGATTGCGGCATCAAACTGGTTCCAGAAAGGCAGCCAGTTTTTCAGGTGTCCGTTGAACTTGATCAGTTCCAGCTTTGGAAGTCTGACCTTCCTTGATGTTGATGCTGCCAGTCTGTCCCCGTTTTCGTTCAACTGACTGGCACTGCCGGAATGCCCCGCTCCCGTCGAGCGCCTTAACTGGCTCTTCAGCTTGGTTAAGTATATGACAATCTTGTCTGCGTACTCGACGACTTGCGCGAATTCAGCATCTCCGTCTTGTTCCGAAACAAGCGGTTCGATGGCGGAGTCGACGTTGTTAAGTTGGCCCTGAGCTAGTGTCAGACGCTCGATGAGCATCTCTAGCTCAGCTACGTTCGGTCCTGGGGCCCTTAGCAACCCTTCCGCGTCGTTCACCAGTCGAGTTACCTGTGACCGGATGGCCTTGCGCTTTTTCTTGAGGACTTCCATTGTACGTGAAGAGTCACTCACGTTCCAGCTTCGAAGTATCCGCAGCGATGTCAGTCCCGGGTTTCGGCACCAAATTTTTGTTGCAGTCGCTGCGGGTCGTCACAGTAATCGTTCCATTGTCACACAACGAGCAACACTTTAATATTTACACCGCTGAGAATAATACATCGACAATCGAAAGCTTGCAAGGTCAAGACGTTCAATCGTTCACGTTCATCGTCGTCGTCGTCGTTCTCTTTTCCTTTTTCCCCGCTTTTCGTACGCACGTGCCGGGGCAGCTCAGCAGACTTCTTTCTTTTCTACTTCTACTCCCTGTTCGTCTAACGCCAACAGAGGTTTGTCCGACGTTAGTTGCAACACAGAGTGTGGCGTGTGCGCTTTCTACGGCAACGCGCACCCTTAGGTAACCTGACGACGTGCCATCGGTTCACGATGGTACGCTAACCGCGCACAATGTCGAGGCTGAGGTTGCTCCCGGGAAAGGGCGGGGGGCACGACTTTAATGAGAAGAGTGACATTATCCGACGGAACTTCGTCCCTCGTTTGGCTCGTACTACTTTCAGTACCTCAGTTATCTCACGGCTGAAGTTTGCTAGAGAAGGTGCGCGTGCCATACTTTAGTTGGTAGAATTCCCACAACAGCTCCTGGCAGATTTTGACGACGTGCAAATAAATCCTTAATTGGTACGTGGCGGCCACATCGAGTGGTTTAATGTGTAATTGGTGAATTTTATGGCGTGAATTGTCTACCTGGCACCATTCGAGGTGCAATTAAAAAATTCAGCGACTAGCTTTGTAGCTTCAAAAATAAAACGTGGCACGGTAATGCGCGGGCTACTGTCGAAGACAGGGACCTTCGACCGTGTCTCTTTATGCTGACGGGTGTCGTTTTATGAACGTTTGAAGCTGGGGTACACGCGATTCTTTTCTCACCTCGTGCGCAAGAGCAATGGCCATTTCAGCATATACCGCTAACCAGAGCGAGAGCGGACATCAATTCCACGTCAAACTCGGCAGCAAATCTAAAACGAAGACCTTTGAAATGATTTGGCAGACCTTTGGCGAAAAGGCGGCGACACGTGCGAGGTGATTTGAGTGACACTCTCGCGACAAGAATGGGCAGAACATCGCTGGAAGACGAAAGAAAGTAGCGGAGCTTCCCCGGCCTCTCGATCTTTACTTTCTGGGGTTTGCACTAAAGCTTCAGACGACTGGCATCGATTATTTTAAGCACCAGGACGTTCGAAGTGCCATGTACTCTGAAGCCTATTAAGCGCCTCTATTGTAAACCCCGAGAAGAAAACCGCATCCTCCATGGCGCCGCGGTTCCAATAAGAAGAGTGACATTATCCGGCGTCACTATAAGCGAATTGAACCAGATCATTAATCACGTCAGCGCTTCTGCCAACCTCCGCAAAACGACCGAAATCAATCTCGGGTTTGCGCGCGCGGGCGCTCTGCTCGAAGCGAGAAGCGGACGGCTAACTCACAACATGCATGTGCTTTCCACACACACAAACACACGCACACGCACGCACACGCACAGACACACACGCGCACACACACACACGCACACACACGCACACACAAAGAAGGCTTTCCAGTGCTTACTTGAATGAGTGCAGAGCTCCCCCGTTTGATTCGCTTCGCCCATTTAAATGTTTACTTGTATCGTATTTATTTCTTGTCTTGTTTCTAGACGATTTATCTGGAGTGGTAAGCACCTTCTACAGCGGCTGGGTCGAGGTCAGGCACTGGGAGTCTCTCGCTAAACTCTTAATGGCTTCGCTGTGCACCCCGCCACAGTCTATATAACCACAGCAGTGTTTGGAAACCGGTTCATTTATTTGATGCACGATCCGCGGTACTGTTTTATGTTATTACTGTTATTCTTATTATTTTGGAAGGCACGACTCGCAGCATACGTTCGTGCTCGCAGTTTAGTTATCTACGTGATTTCCGTAAGTGATTCCCTTGTCAGAGCTGAATTGTCTGCAAACTTGCGCAGCGTGCCCGCAATTCTAAACTGAAGGGCCAGCTTTTTTTTTTTTTTTTTCGTCAGAGTATTTGTGTTGGGCGAGCGAGGAATATTATTAGTATACGTTAGTATGTATTTCCGCGCATCTTTAGCTACGTGTGTTATGTATGTGAGTACTTTCGCTGCCTGGGTTTCTACCGGGGCGGCGTCTCGAGTCTGGGTGAAGTCTTTATTGTGACCGCTTAAATCAACTTGGTAACGTGCCTCGCTACGATTTACCGCAGAGGTACCGAACGGTGGTGAAACAGCATCGCATCAACATTTCACAAGAACTACCTAACCTCAATAAAAAATGGAAAAAAAAAAAAAAACACACGATAGCCGGTCTTTTTTACCCACTGCGTTTCTTCCCTAAATTTAGCGGGGGAAATCCACGTCACGTGACCTGACGTCGCGTGACCTATACAATTATTGAGTTTCCCCGCTAAATTTAGCGGGAAAATAGACGTCACGTGACGCACTAATTCCGTCATCAATTCCTTATAATACATTTTATACGTGACAAAACTTTAAAGGTAAAGGCCGGTTCCATGGTTTTCTTCTTTTTTTTTATTAAATTTCTTGCCACGTGGTTATGGGGATACTCGCACGTCGCAGACTTGTTTCTTTGTGGTCTCCGACAACTTGAGAAACGCAGGGCGTTCCTTAAAGTTTACGTACCCGCTTTTTACGTTTCCGCTTTGTGCCGCGTGACTTGTCCTCTTGTGTTCTTTTCGCCTAGTGCCTGAATCTCATTGACTGCGACCGGAAAATAAGATGGTCGGTACCCAAAACGCATCACGTTCTTTTAGCTGTCGGTGATTTTAGTGAATTAAGCGCCTTTTAACGTTCGTGCGACTGGCGAATTTCTGCGTGCGCGTGTAGTATCGTTCGTAAAAAGTGAGGTCTTAATATTTTTTTTTTCATTTTACCACCCTTAAATTGCGCATCTCTAATAAGTGATATGTTTCCACCAGTATCGAGAAGTGCGGCGATCGGAGCGCCGAGCACAGTGACTCTCATAGGCGGCTTGATTGATTTAGTTTTAGTTTCAGTCAATACCGCGGCAACAAGTACTGCCGGTTTTCCTGGCTCGGATGTTGTTGCATCGAGGGCCGTTGGGTCCCTGGTCTATCAAACGTCTACAACAGCTATCTTTGGTGTTGCAAAGTTTGAGCCATTTTTGGTCCTTGCAGTCCCACTAGAGCCGAAGCTCGCGCCGGTACACTTGAAGGGAACTGCGTTGGAATTCAAGGGAGAACCGGACGCAACAAGCATCTTATGACAGAGACGGGCCTCATCGGGCCTCCCGCCGTCCGCCTCAAAGGCGGACATGCCGACAACGTCATGACCGATACCGTACTCAGCGGGCCTCCCGATATCCCCAGCGAACGGGAACGCGTCGGAGATCTCATAACCGTGAGAGAGCGGGGCATGGTCTTCGAGGGTGACCGACAGCGACTTGATAAAGCCTATCGGAGAAAACTACAAGGGACCCTCCTGGTTTCTCATAACCGTAAGAAGGCGAGGAACGGCCTCCGGGGGTTGCAGCTCAAGCGAACCCACCGGGTAGGTCATGACCGAGTATTTATTCGATAAGGCCTATTAGGGGAATCCACGAGGGACCCTCCGGGCTACTCATAACCGTGAGAGGGCGAGGAACGGCCTTCAGGGGTGGCAGCTGAAGCGAATTCCACCGGGTATGTCATGCCCGAAACTGATTTGATGAGGCCTATTAGGGGAATCCACGAGGGACCCTCCGGGCAGCTCATAATTGTGAGAGGAAGAGGAAAGGCCACCGAAGGTGACAACTGAAGTGGACCCACCGGTTATATCATGACCGACAGTGATTTGATAAGGCCTATCGAGGGAAACCACGAGGGACCCTCCGGGCAGCTCATAACTGTGAGAGGAAGAGGAATGGCCACCGAGGGTGACAGCTGAAGCGGGCCCACCGGGTATGTCATGTCCGACAGTGACTTGATAAGGAATGTCAGGGTAAGCCACGAGGGACCCTCCGGGCTTTTCATAGCCGTGAGAGGGCGAAGCACGGCCTCCGGGGATGTCAGCTAAAGCGGTCTCTCCCAGAACTCTTATCAATCCCGAAGGCCTACTAAGAGCACGATACTTAATCCAGGGGTCCTGGGTTCTAGAAACACGTTGTGTGCCAGTGTAGGATTTTTCTCGC